AAAAATAAGTAAAAAATGAAGAATAATTTTTTTTGGAATCCGCCATTTTGTTTTTTGGGGAAAATATTTATTATTTCAAAATCCCTTTGAGATATTTTTACGAAACTTGGCAAAATTGTTTACACTATAGTAAGTAACATTTATAAAAAGAATTATTATTTTCACTTTCCAAATTTCAAAATGGCGGCCGTTTGAATTTTTTAATGCCAAATTTCATGAAAACTGGTACCTAAATCAAAATTTTGTAAGACACAAAAGTTTTAGTATTTATTATGACAAATCCAACAAAATAAAAATGAATAAAATCGGTTCATAAATAAAGAAGCTGTGTTTATTTTAGTAAATTAGACTGAAATTATCTATCTATCTATATATTAATAGGCAAGCATGTTTCTTTAAAACCTTTTTTCTCAGCTCGTGTGCATCGTAGGGAAAATCTACGCATACCGTTGGAAAGCTATTTTCCTGTAGGTGTGCAGAATCCCTTTATAAATTTAAATAGGCTCAAAGATAAGCACAAAAAATAAGTTTAAAAGTTGTAAAAAATTAACATGGATCTTATGCGTTGCTATGCTGGTTACGAAATAACAACGAAGTATAAACAGAAAATCAAAACAAATGGAGGAAACTCCAATCACATGTTTTATTTACAGTGTGGGGTGAAAATAGTTAAGTGAGTACATTACATATTTTTGGTCGAGTTTCGACCACTGGACGACCTCTCGTTAATATTAAAATGTATTAAATGTAATGTAATAATTTATGTAACGTATTAAGTAATTTCAGTCTAAATTACTAAAATAAACACAGCTTCTTTATTTATGAACCGATTTTATTCATTTTTGTTTTGTTGGATTTGTCATAATAAATACTAAAACTTTTGTGTCTTACAAAATTTTGATTTAGGTACCAGTTTTCATGAAATTTGGCATTAAAAAATTCAAACGGCCGCCATTTTGAAATTTGGAAAGTTAAAATAATAATTCTTTTTATAAATGTTACTTACTATAGTGTAATCAATTTTGCCAAGTTTCGTAAAAATATCTCAAAGGGATTTTAAAATAATAAATATTTTCCCCAAAAAACAAAATGGCGGATTACGGCTAAACTAAGCCGAAATCCAAAAATAATTATTCTTTATTTTTGACTTATTTTTGCATGTAGAATTAGGTCCTGTATAGCCCATCACACTTTTTTGTGACACCCTGTATGTTCGCTTACGTCGACAAAATCCAAAAAAGATAGTAAACGTTACTTTCACATAGTAAACATTCTTTTGCCGTTGTAAACAATGTAATGACGAGTTTTCGCAGGTGATAAACATGTAACGAAAGCAGGTCATTTCACAGTAGTGTAGCGAAAACTATATATCGAAGCCCACCCTGGGATGTAATTTTAAACAAATCTCTCTTTAAAATAATGTTCTTTCTACAAAGACTTTTTATTCAGTTCATACTTTCTCATGCAAAGCAGGAAATATGCCGAATCCATTAATTAAACTTACTAAATACCCTCAATAGCAAAATTACTAAACGTTACTACCCCAGGTTAATTTTCTTTGTCATTCAATTAACTCCGAGGATTGCGCTTCGGCAGTATAAGTTTGCTGCTATGAACGCCTAGACATATAAAATGCGGTATCTAAATTGAATCTTCCTCAAGTCCTACATAAAGTTAGGGTTTACATCTCTCGAGTGAGATGCAGCTTTTGAAACCTACAAAGATGTTTGGCTGTGTGTAAAACAGTCGCTTCACTTCCTGTAAAATATATTTTAAGGATCCAACACGTATCTGATTGTAGACATGAAGAAGCGTCATAACATTAACAAAAGGTAATGAGGATAAAAAATATTACTTGGTGGGTTGAATGTTGTATTTGGTTGGTTATGTGTTGTTTCATATTACAAAGTTCATGCTATAATATAGCTTTCTAAATACAATCAAAGGTAGGCTGTGGATAATATAAAACAGTAGGAACCACCAAATGAAGTATTTTAAATCCTATGTTAACAAAGACGCAAGCTAGCTAACATAGATCGACAGCTTTTAAAATATCTTGACATATTGATATTGTTCGACATAGAGTACTTAGAATTTATAAATGAATGTGAAATATGTGTCACATTTGGTAGTTGTGGAAGCTATATTTTAATATATCAACAATAATAATGAATGTTGAAAATGATAGGGATGACTAGTTAGATTCGACATTAACTTTCGTTTCTGACCAAGGAACCCATTGTCCAAATCGAGAAAATTTTATTTTGTTCGCAACGTGCTCTTTGTGTAGTTTTTTTCAGTCTAAAGGGCACCTCTTTTTAGTTCCAATAATTTCCTTTTCCAAAAATATACATGCTATTTTATTTAGTAATTTTATTAATTTATTGTATTCCCTTCATAAAGGATAATATTATTAATATTCAAGTAAATCTTAATTACTGTACCAAATATCGGCAGCAGTTACACTTTGAGAAAGCATTAATTGACTATTTAATAATACTTTCAATACACTTTTCGTGGACAGGATTTAATAAAATAAAATTAACTCTTAAGCTAGTTCAGCTAGTTCTGCTTTACCTACTTATATTCTTACTTATTTGACCATAATAGAAACAATACAGTACGAGAAATCATAGTTTTGAATTATTTTTGAATAATTGTATTTACAAAACAAACAAAACAATGTAAAAAACTTACTTTCTTGTTCATAAGAGTGTGACAAACTGAATTGAATTCATGTCCATTACTACTTTAAACCGAAGTGGTTAAAATATGGTGTAATTGGTTACATTGGAGAGCGATGTTGGAATCACCAATCAGCAAGTAGTTTGTCCAAGTTGTTAACTCAACATCAGACTACTCTACCAATCGCTCTCTACCTATGTTAACTGTTTTCCTCTCAAGCTTCCCATCAACCAACATAACAATTAATTGTAAGGTAATTACTGTATTTTGAGCACTAAACGTATTTTAAATATTATATGTGCTAATTATCCTACGAAAATACCTTTATTTTACTCAAGTACTTGTTATAAATTAGACATAAGACAACGGTGTCTGTAGTGTAGAGATAAAGAGAACATAAACATTGGTACCGAGGTTGAATAGATATTTGTATATTTATATTTAAAGTCGCCTAAATATATCATAGACTAGGCTTAGGCCTATAGCCAAATCTGGCTATGCAGTAAGAGCATTTTACTTATTACTTGTTGGTTTAACCTATTGAAATAAAACAATTTGGCATAAAACATGTTTATGTCAAATCTAAAAACAATACCGTAAATTCATAAAACGGTTCTTCACAAGCGTACATTCTTTCAAGATTATTGTAACGTTGTATTTTCAAGTAAACTGTATTTTTCATCCATCTGTACACGACAATAGCCCATTTCCGTGTAACTGGGCTTGACAGAAACGTAAATGTCCAATATATCAAAACTCATAATTTTTCCAATCCCAAATATAAATTTCCTGTTCCAAACAATAATTAGTCTTCTCCAAACAAACAATTCCCCTGTTCAACACAACAGGAGTAGGTCTATATCATGACTATTTATTCGTATTTAAATGACAAAACAACAGTTCGAACGGGAAATGCATGTAAAAATCATGCCATTGAAAAAAAAATACTACTAGAGTATGAATTATTATCTAATTATTTAAAGAAAACAAAAAACAAACAAAAACAGTGTGTTGTATCGCAGTGGGGATATAGCTGTTTTACGTTCAGCTTTGCCTCGCTCGTATACCACAAACTTCCCCCAAAAGGGCGACTTTCAAACTAATAATTGAATTTACCTTTGAAACAGATTTAACTGAACAAAAAACCCTCGCTGCATACAGAGGTTTTTCAAAATAAAATAATGAAAGTAATGAATTGTCACAATATCAACAAATAGATATGATCGTATTGGTTTCACTGTGACTTGTTGGTTGAATTTTCTAGTTTTTATCAAGAAATATTATAGAATGCGATTATAGCACATCTTAAAAGAATATAATACGTTTTTAATAAATAGTTCTTCGCAAACATACATTCTTCGTATATCAAAGCTAATTGTTGACTAGAAGTCACGAGTTCAAGGAACTCATAAAACCAATAAAGTAACTTTAACGTTTCACCAGTTGAGCTGATCAGAGTTGAGCGACAAACTATAAAACTTGATTGTACTGTAAACGCGTCAACAAAGTTTTGAGGTCAAATATATTGGGGGAAACTTTGCTACTCCCAATCCCACATTGACATATTTAACACGTAATAATTTCACGTTATTTAGTTAACTGTTTTTATCCAATATATTGCCGACTAATATCCCAGTGTCTTCGTACCCTTTTTGAAAACCACATGCTCTTTGTCAGGCTTACCGAGATGATGATATTTCAAAATAAAATTTAAACTTTAATTTGCACTCACATTAAACCTATGTATGCCTAAGTTTACTGGAGCCAATAAAAAATAGTTTCATATTTGAAAATAAAATAATGTAAAGTAATTGACTAGTTGTTAGCAATGCGAATCATGAAACGAGGAAGGTGGATTCAATTCCAAATGGTTCTAAATTGTATGAGTTATTCGGATGTTCTTAAATTTAATACACCTCGGTGTTAAAACTAGCAAATAAAATAATCATGCTGTAACAAACCTAAGCTTCTACAGACTACTACTTTCGTTCCATCGATCCTATGAGAACTATATCAGATTCCGCTAACATTATATATTATCAGATTAGATATAGTTGAGAATTCCGAAACCTACTAAACAAGGAAAGTAAATCCCCCAATTACCTTGACCTACTATTAAGTTCTAGGAAAAGTGATACTTCAAGTAAACATCCGTAACAGTTTAAAAAAATTTTTGATACACGTTTTAAAATTTGTCAGGAATAGTATGGCTACCAAATGATTGTAATACGCTCACCTATCCAGGAAAACTGTTTCACTTTTTATTATTAAATTTCTCTGCAGCGTTGAATTTAATCTGCTTCATGTGCCTGCAGGTTTCGCAAAAGAGCGGCCACCTTCCGTGGGATGACGATGGAGGAAAGTCGTCAGTGCCTCATGCCAGCTCGCTGGACGCGTTATCTCGAAAACAACGAACACCTGAGACCGCCCCTACGCCCAAGGCACCCAATAGAAGCGCAACGTGTAGTGTTCGTAAGTATCTGTCAATAAAAATCGAATATTGGCTCTTCGTAGACTGTACAACGTATTGATCATGGAGATCAAGTTAACACATGCTTGTCAAAAAGTTATATTATTACCAAGCCATTTGATGATAAAAAATAGCTCCTGTAAAATCATTGACTATCAAGTCAATGGTAGAATGCACTAATCTCAACATTAAAATTATTTATTTGTATACAGTAAGGGGGTACTCATTTTCAACACCAACATTGTATCGCAGCATTCATCGTTGATTAAGACATATTAGGAGGTAAAATATAGTGTTATATACCAATTATCATTGAGATGGGGACGCCACCAAGGTGTGTATTTGAACCAAAATATTATGGGTGAAGTACGAGTGTAGAATGGTGTTAGATCCGTGTAGCCTAGACACTGACTAAGATCAGCTATTTCATTAGCGAGGATAATTTATTCAAAGCCCAATGATAAGGAAAACCTGGGTCCAGTTTCAAACCACCAAAAATCTACTGACTAAAACCAGAGTGTGGACCGTTATCATAGAAAAAGTTTTAAAAAAATACCAAAGTCATCAAACATAAACAAGGAAAAGATTACACAAACACATTTTTAAAGCTTTTACACCAACTGGTTGACATTAAAATAATTATAAAAAGCTCACAGAATTTATTAAATTTGGTTTGGTTTCGATAACAGAGGGTTTGAATACACGTTTTCGACCGAATGAAAAGAAAACAATAAACTAGGAATTTAAAAATAAAAAGTAAGCTTATGCATGTTAAAAAAATGAAGAAAGTATAATATTTTATGAATGCAGACAAAACGTATTTTTGGTAAGCACATTTTGTGTGTTAATAAAATCGAAAACGAATCATTGTGTGTTGATAAAAAGTGTTCTTATTTCCAAGCCATAAAACTATTTTAAGCCTCCTAAGGTGAAACTATTTCTCAACATGGGGTATATTTAAATTATTCATCCGTCCTGCCTTCGATAAAACAGGAATCGAAATAATGTAAATATATTTACATAGTTCTATGTCGTAAAAAAGCTATGTTGTCAAAACAACTATTGTTGGCCAAATTGAAATGTCAATCAGAATACGTTATTCATATTATTTTCTGTTTGACTTTTGAGAGTGAATAACGTTAGTTATTCATTTTAAGCTTTTATTTTATCTTTGCATATAATAAGCTGTGGCAATTCTCTAACATTTTTTTGGCAGTATTTACGTCTACAATCATATTGTATTTCAATCTAGTTTGAGAATTAAATACACATGTCAAAAAACATATTTTTATCCAAATTTAGATTGTGAAATATTCCACGTATTCAGCGATACACGAATAACTGCAAAAGTATATTTGTGAAACGTTATTGCAATTCTTATATGAGCTCTACAATACGAGATGAAATTTTCATTTTTACCACCGGCATACCAATAAAATGCAAAACATTCAGAAACATCTGTTTTGATAAAATATTTCCTTAATTTTTTTCTTAAGAAAATAACTTTCAACATAAAATTATCAGTATTTTAACTCTTATTCACGAATTTTTGTTTTTCTTAGTTACTTAGTGGATTAGTTTTTATTAAATAAACATGATATATTTTTAAATACAATAAAGGGCATGTTGCACAGTATTCCATCGATAAAAAATTGTATGATTGTTTTTATTTCATAAAACATAATCTAAAGGGTTATGACCTTTTTCCTAAATCTTACTTTTAATGGTATAGCAACTAATCAACCATACTATTGATATAATCAAAGTATTTACCCCATTTTTTTAAAGTAGCCTGAAAATGTGTTGATGGTCCTTTTAGAATCTATTATTTGATGGTTATCTATCAGTTAATTCTTCGTATATACTCATAATGGTAGATTGAGTATAACCAAATGATGGGTTTAAAGTATAAAATTAAAACACCCTTACATGATTAATATTAACATTGAATAACATGACAAGTTTTCTGTGTATTAACTCATTCTAAATTTTATATTCACAGGGACTCTTGATATTTATAGGGATGGTAACCTCAAGCTAGTTTTTTATGACATAAAACTATTTATAAGTGAGATGGTTGAGCGATATGGATAAAAAAATAAAGCTGTCGACTAAAACTAGACACTGTTGTTTAACTAAACTTTACATACCTCGTCTTGCAGTTCAAATATAGTGTTTGAAGTCCACTACATATGTTTCGCCATATATGGCATAAGCAGTTCAGGGGCTACAAAATGGAATTTAACTGTTCTTTACAACCGTGTTCAGATTCCCAACCTTAAATCTTTATACCTTACAGGCAGATAATATTAAGTGCCTTCCAAATACTTTACTTGAGTAGGTATATAGTACGATTACTACCAATTCAACCTATTTAATTATACATGTTAATGATTATTTGCAAAACTAAAAGTACCAAAGTAACCAAATTATCACAAACAATTCAAAACAAATGTATGCAAACAGCCGGACCACTACCTATCTAAAAGTGTGGCCGTTGTTTAAATTGCGTTCATCAATGCTTCAATACATCACTGATAACGCGGTGCTATGATAATAACTATAAATAGAAACCAGAGCATGTTATAAACGTGTTAGAGCATAAATTATTGAAAATGTTCAGTTCAAGTTTTGCTGTGTAATTGTACATCGATAATGTGCTTAAAAATCACTAACATTCAACCACTTAAAATAGTTTGAGTGTTTCATTAATTTAAAAGCAGTTTAAACAATCTAATATCTACTATTTAGTTCTTTTTCATGTGACGTTTTGTTCTAAAATCACTTTAAAGGGCAGTAATAGTTTACCCTTGCATAGTTTAAGATTCATGATTGTTAAGTCTTAGAAACATTCTAAATTAAATCTCGGTAGTAAAAAGATATGACTATTCAAGAATATAGGATCACTCATACTTCTGCTACACTATAACAATTAAAATCATATTTTAAATTAAATGATCATAGTCTAACTATAAGTTATATTGTATTCTCGTATATAATTTACGTTTTAAAATGTTCTTGTTCGACATTTTACACGCATCCATTGACCACAGCGATTCCAATAAGGGAAATGATATACAAATATTATATTCAAAATAGTTTTTAAATTTACTTTTCATGCGTCACAAGTTGACTAGTTTTAAGACCATCTTTACGTATAAATTGGCATATACATATATTCCAAATTACACTTCGGAATCTATAGTGTTATCAACTAGATCCCTAAACACACTTTATTACCCGAAATTACTCATACAAATCAGTATTAAACATGATGAGACCTGAATACTGTTCCATATTCATAAATAGTATTCTTAATTGACCTAACTACACTTCTAGTTATACTTATACCATATAATATACGCAATCGCTTGATAAATAAATACACTCTTGTATATCTAAACAAACTTCTAGACCAGCAATTGTTCTACTAGATTTTTAGATCTTAAACTACTTTTCAGAATTTATATGTCTACTTACACTCGTACTTTGTAGATTCTCAAACGCCCTTCAAGATTTCTATTTTCTATTTTGGTTCCATTAATAGTCCTCCATAATTTTACCAAATCTCTGCTACATCCCTTTAAACCCCTAACTAGGGTTAAGAGCGCATAATCGTACTCATGCTAGAATACACCATATCAATTTCTGTTCCTTATAGTTCTACATCTCTAAATACACTTTACTCCAGAACCACTTCCTCACTTACTCTTGATGTTACATTAACATACAAACCAACAATAATTCTTCAGCGTTTCTGAAATGCGTTGTAGGTTTTCTTAATGCTGTTTTAATTGTTCAACAGTGTCTTCTAAAGCTGCCGAAGATATTCCTCCACGACTGCGGCCTCATACCCTAGATAGCTTTTGCGAAGGTAACGCAGCACGGTAGTATAGATCATGTACAGTGTACAGAGAGTGAGCACCTGTCTTCCTCAACGCAGAGAATGAAAACTCAGAGTGAAATAGCTTGTAGTGATAAATGCCTTTTAATATTAACCTTTCCTTTGAACGTGGCGTAACATTGTCATTCATTGTAAAAGTAATCGTATTCGTAGCATAAAACTGTCTAAATAGAGTCATTCGATCTGAATATGAATTTGTATGACACAATTTTTAACAACACCCATATATACATGTGCCATTGATCGACAACTCTAAATTCTTTTATGCTCCTTATCTTCAATTAAATAGCATGAGATTTATATTATTTGGAAACATAAATCAACTCTTTTGGCTGAGCAAATTATTTAAATACTGGCTCTTTAAATGCCAATGAAATCTGAAACAAAAATAGAGCGGTGACAACAACAATCGATAATTGTTTACATTCATATATCTTTAAATATGCACCTAAATAATTACCAGATAATGTTCTAATCAGAAATATGAGATCACACTTCGTGGCATTTAGCAATCCGTTAAAAGATTATCAGGTGAAATAGCAAAAGTACTTTCTACACATTAATAACTGGTTGTTTATAAACAATTATTTCTTTTTCCCATAATTGTAACTTTTTAAAAATATATTTATTTTTTCGATTGTTTTCTTGAGTTTTTTATTTACACACTTGCAGATAACTTACAGCGTAATGATTTTTTAAGTGTTTATTTGAACCTTTTAATGCACCTTTTGTCTCCTAAGCTAAAGTGTAACTAAATTCCTTGACTTATGCTTATAATATACTATTTAAGATCATTAAACGGTGGATGAGTTTTATATGCATATTTTGCTTAGGTTTAGTGCAGTTAATATAGCAACTGATGCACGCAGGTAGGTATATGACCACAATATAATACGTTAGCGTACGCATTCACGAAATGTGTGAACAATAAATGCTTTGTTCGTATCTAATTCTGAATGAGTCCTCGTGACAATAGTTATTTAATTGCCCAATTCGGAAAATACGAGTATAACAAAATCTTTCAAATTCAATAATGTATCAAAATCGGTTTCAGCTAAAGCATACCTTACTCTAGTTTTTAAAAGCAAAATCTCCAAGAAATAACTATTGACCAAAATTGAGTTGTCACTCTGTTTATTTCTTCTCTGTAAACAAAAGCTTAGCTTCTAGCATTGGCTGTTGTATAATACAACACACGCCTTTTTACTCTAACACGGACCAATGAAAACAAGCACTTTTAAAAATATTCACGTGTATTTTTATCTCACGTTGAATATTTTATTACATACAACTAAACGAATGACAAAGTTCAACTTTCGCAATTTTGTTACATAAAAAAATAATAACCTAATACAGTTGGCACGGCAACTGTTAAAACCAATTTTGAGGCGCATCCCATATAGATTTAAAAAATATATATTTTATCATGAATAAATCTTTAAGTATTAGTGAAACTATTGTCAATGTGCTGATTGAAATTACTGGTAATTATAATTTTCCCTTTGTAGTACTCCCACGAAAATAAAGCTCTAATTTATGACAAATGAGCCTTTTTTCAGTGAGTGTGATTTTGTATTTGGCTGATCTTTTTCCGCAAAACCCAGTTAACACCAGTGATGTATCCGCTTTTGTGTTTCAGGAATACATATTATAATTTATTTTTATTCGGAACCACTAATTTATTGTTCTATTTAGGTTTTCACTAACACTAACCCACATTTAAGTTTGTAACTGTCATACCATTGAATTGTTTGCTTGTAGTCTATTACTTACTCGTAATGTTCAGTTTTCTACTGGTATATAAACATTTGATTAGACGTAAGCCTTTAACCTGACATTACATAGTAAAACATATATGAAATTACGAATATATTTTTACTAATATTTGATTTCCTCAATCATAAGAAGAAGTTTTGTCATATCAACAAGGCGGCCAGAATAAAAAATATATGTAGCCTACATCATACATTACTTGATTTCATATCATAATATAACACATTCTCAAGTCATTAAATGTTAGACCTTAAGCACTTAAAAAATAAACACTCAGCATTATGATCACTGATCACTCATTCCTGATCATAGCTATTCAAAAACAGTAATTTGAGCAAGTTGTAACCTCAGTCAATAAAGTTTTGAAATTTCACCAATCGTGAAAGTTTCTTTTAAAAGAGTGAAGTGGAAATCGCTAAACAAAGAAAACTATGTAGCTGATTCATATATTTCTTCGGACATTACTATTTTCCTCTGGTACTTTGAGTCAAGTAACACAAGATATTGTTCGATTCGGTTTTAATTTGACGGATCTAGTTTATTAGATAATTTATGTATATACTCCATTAGAGGTAGATGCCCTTCCCTTTTGTACATATTTCATTCTCCCTTGGCTTACAATCTATAATGTTAAATGAAGTAAGAGTTTATATTCCAACTTGATACCAGAATGTTTAAAATCACTTATACTTTAGTATATGAGATTGAAGTATTATTAGTTTATAATAGTTGTCAATAGTCAACCGATGAAAAAGAGAAAGAAATCTTCGCAACGAAAGAGACCAAGCAAGAACAGCCTGTACGATGTTTTACTAAATATTGCCCCGCGAAGAATTACGACGGACACATTGTTTTACCTATGACGATGAAACTGTAGCTTGGGCACAATACATTTAAATTATAAAATAGTGTATTTTTTTAAGATTCTAGAGCTGCCTTTAACGATTTTATTCAGTTAGAAATGTATTACACTTAAAATAAAGTTTCAAGAAAGGAGGTATTTTCATCCTAAAATATAAGAGTTACTACGGAAAAGCAGCGAGTCAAATAACCTTAATATTATTTTTCTATGCTTGTTTTGTTTATACTGTAAATCTTTAATAGTATTTAATATCTATTTTTACATTTCACTCGATACGACTAAAGAGTACAGTAGTTGATAAAGTAAATTGTTCTACAATTTGACTTCCGTGAAATACTTAGTAGTGCTACATAGTATTGTTCTTGTATACCATATTACATTAAAATGGAAGAAAGTTAGCAAACATGTGTATATTCTTGCAAAAGGTTTCCTTCTTGGACAACCTTTCCAATATATTTCTAGAATCATAACATCTTTTAGAACAACAAACAATTCTACGCATTTTGCTATTATTTAAACTTAACATTCGTTGAAACAAAGTTCATCACATATACGCCTTAAAACTGGTGTATTACATGTATTGTATGTAGTACGAATGTAGTACGAATTGGTTGAGACTAAGCAGCACGTTTAGCCCACTCGCAAGGTGTGTTGAAGGGATTACTGAACACAATGTGAGGTTTACATGACCTCTGACGTCATCGCGACTCTGGATATGGAAACTTAAAATTTGCATGTAGTACAAGACAACTACTTTAACCACCAACACCGAATAACATAACTGTTTTGTATTTTAGCTTAACGAACGTTTTTTTTTAACTACCCTTGTCAATTCAGGTCTTAGAATTGTTTGTTACTTTACAGTACAAGTATGAAAAAAAACCCAACAGAGTAGAGGGGGTTTTTTAGTGAGTAGTCTGACAAGCTCAGGAGTCTCACACTACAGGCTGGCTACCTGTGTGCGTAAAAGCATTTTTACCTCCTCTCCCTTAAAAAAAACAAAAAAACTAAAAAAAACAGTACAAGTATGGACCAATGAGGTTCAAGAATTGAGAGAAAAGAAGTATAGTAATTTTAATGATCCAAAAGTCAACTTATCAGTTATTAAGCCCAATTTAATTGTTTGTACAATGAATGAGTGGTTGGGACAATGAATCGTTGCATCACAATCATTGGCAATGATGTCGTGTGTTCGGATCCTGGTCACTGCCACTAAAATTTATCTGTACAGTTTACCTTTGTAATGTACCGGCTCACTCCTTGCTTTGCTGTAAACGATCTACGCACGGGCGCTTAGTCTATGTGGAAGGGCAAATGCAAGGTTAAAAGAGGCCGCCAACCTCTTTTATAAAAAAGAAAAATAAAGAAAAGAAAAGGTTATAAACGAAATTATAACCCTCTCTTAGACGTTATGAGTAGTGATTGTTAGTAATAAAAAACGGTCGTAAGAAAAGTAGTGTACGCAACTCGCGTAATTAGCTTTTACCTAACCCACCATGTTAAACTTCCCTATCCCAAGCGTGATGTATACAACTGTCTTACTTCTCGAGTGATGTAAAGTATCAAAAACTCACTCGGTGATGTAAAGAAAACCATTTAAATAACATTGAGGGCTTAACTTAAAAAATATACCTCTATGGAGCCAACGACGTTCAACGCTAGAAATCAGCTGTGCGCTTGAATGTTATTGTTATGCTTTAAAGTATTTTACTATCCTAGCTTTTGTTTGTAAAAGAACATTACCGTTAGAAGACATGTGAAATGGATAATGAAAAATATTCTACGTAACCCTATGTATATTGTCGGGTCAGGTAAAATCTTAAGTGAATTATGCAACTCGCTTCCGCTCGTTGCACAACATTCACCTGCGTGATGTAAAAACGCTCTTACTACACTTGTAATGTAAATAGCTATTAAGGCACTCGTAGAAGTTTTAACTCGTGTATTAATGAATTACATTTAGAAACTTTAAAAATATATGTTTAATTTATCGGTAATATTTGTTTCCTATTTACGTACTGACTTATTATAACTGACGTAATTTTAATGCAATAGTATAACTGACTCCTTATAAGTAATTTCTTGTTCTCTCATTGTTGGTATAATGAGGGTGGGAGGTTAAAACACATGACATACCATTACACAACTTACTTATGTTTAAAAACTGTATACGTAATTCAACGGTAAATGTGTGTATTCTAGTTTGGAAGTCATTAATTTTATATCATTGATTGAATATTCTAATACAAAGATATATTATCTATATCGATCTTATATGGCCCAAATAAGATCTCATAGACAATGAATTACTGACTAGACAAATCCAACTAGTCTAATCACGTCATATATTGAAAATAGTTAAAGAAAATAATGTTTTACTTTCAAAGTTATCATATTTTGAACCAATCGATAAGTTGCAAGATGGAAATTTGTTAGAGCCCCAAGAAACTGGTTCGGTTATTACACGTAAACATAAGGAAGCATCGACTGCAAACAAAGTAGACGATATTAGCAAACAATGGATAAACAAAGTAAGCCATTGGCAGCCAGCCATCCAGCCGTGTTCTTGTTCATTTATTGGTTCATCCTGTAAATATTGTTATTGTGTACAGCCTTTACCCGACTTCATAAAAATGTACGACATCGGGCTATGTTGTTACATAAAATTGTATATCGTAGAAACATTTCGTTTCCTATGTTTAACTGGTAAATTAGAAATTTATAAATATTTAATTCATAGTTGCCCTTTTATTTTAGGTTTAAATTGTATTCTTGTAATAGAATGTTTCTAATATTTACGTAATTTCCATTGTAAATAATATTTTTATGATGCCAAATAATGAAGGTGTATTAATATTTATTTAGGTGTCTAATGTTTGAGGTGGTGGTAGTCTTGTGATATGGTTTTAAACTATTCTGGTTGTCAGTATTACCTTGGATTACTGGAAAAGTGTGATGGGGGCCCAGAGAATTGGACCTTTTACCCAGACCAGGAAGACAGCCCAAGCCAGCTTTGATTACACTTATTTAACTAACACACTTAAATACCCTAATCTTGGTTGAAACCTTCCAAACTAATATATAAATATATATAAGAAAAACCTGATTGAAGCAAGAATTGGTTGAATTGTAACTGGTAGATGAACTAAGCAACCCCTCTAACCGGCAATTTAATCTCTTGGAACATGTGGCTTCGAAACATGAAAAGGATTGTTTGATTCCGTTAGGCGGAATCAAACTTGATAGTTATTTACTACATTTTCCAGCGTACCTGCGAAGCCAGTGGCTTCCCCCCCTGAGATTTACTTCTAGCCTAACATATTTTAATATTTTACTTAAAACTAATAAGTTAACTTAGCTTGATTATTGTTCATTCTGTACGAAGTTTGAAGACTCGAAGTTCGTCAAATCACGGCAGCGGGCAGACAGGGGCGAGAGAAGAGACGAGCCGGCTGAGCTTAGAAAAAATTGGTCCAAGAAAAAGAGCGGTTGAACGGCATGCTAGCGCCTTACGCCATGAAGCTGTGGCGCTTGCGTCACAGGTTGTGCATAGTTCGTTTAAATGAAATGTAATTCAAAATGAAAGCGTGGTGTTTTGATTTTAGTCAATATTTGCTTACTCTTTCTGAAACGGAAGAGGTTGATCAAGTGGATAGGAATAGGTTCTTTATGTAAACCTACAACCTGAAAAGGATGTGTGATACCGGCATTTAAAAAGAAAAGTATGAAGAATCAGAAACTAGAAAGAGTTTGTGTTATTCTTTTTGAAAAAGAGTACAAGCGTAAATTCACTAAAAAGGACCAGTTGGAACAAACCAACTAGGGACGGAGTTCTGTCACTTCTAACTGTTCATTGGAATAACGTCTAGCTTGTGATACTGAAAATTGCTATAGAAATTATCTATTACTGCCGACCCTAACATTATATTTGTAGAAAAAATAAAATACCAAAATCCAAATGAGAAAATACTATACAAATTGACAAACCTTAATCACTCATTGTATCCCCATTTTAAATTATGATGAATCTATATTTTTATGTATCTACAACAATACATAAAGAGTTGTTAACAATAAATTGGCATTAGTGTTGTTTTCAATCTCCACTGCCAATTTAACCACTTAGTGGATTATTGTGATAATTTATCATCACAATCTGTACAAAAAGGTTTTCACGACGCTTTGAGACCTGGAATATGATCTTGTCCTCCTATACCTATCTACTAAGTACCGATGAGGTAGGCCTATACACTTAACAAGGTTATAAGCACAACCACAGCTTAAGAAACCCACAAAGAGAACTATATGAAAGTCAAAATAAGAAACACAAATCCTGAACGACTTTCAGGATTACGACTCTCAGTCAGTATTGTGATAATAGACCTACTGTGAACAATCAATGATAATATTTTAGGAAATTATATTCTCGTAGTGCATCAATGCTCACGCAGAGATATAAATTCTGTGATGCTATCGTAAACACCTAATAGAAGGAAACCTATTGAAACTTGTTTAATCTTTGTGAAGTGAATCTAGGTGTGTATTTCCTTATTATGTACTGATTTGGAAAGAGGGCAGAAAAGCTTGATCACGTTTACTCAAAGCCCAATGTTAACTTTGTTTCAGCGACCAGAAACCACGTAGCCAAACGTTTCCCCAACACTTCGTCGGAGTCGGACCTTCAACATTACCGGGCCTTAACATTGTGGGACCACGCCCCTTCATTGTCCAATGTCGCTGCCGAGACACTTCGGCACAAGGTAGGGTCAGCATTCACCAGAGTGTGAGGCTTTGGTTCGAGATCCCGGGTTCAAATCTTGCCAATCACCAACGGCATTAGTTATGTGATAATGGCCAAAACCCTCTAGGCCTAGTCGATCATGAAACTTGGATTTCATAGAGAAATAAAAATATAACACAGCCACCCTAGACCTTTTTGTAGAAAATCCTCAGACAGGTCAACCTCAACTAAAAATTTGCTTTATCATTAGTAATTTTATATTAGTCATTAATGTAAAATACCTCTTTTTTAAATATCTTTTTGAAGGTAATGTGTGTTATTTGGATGTAAAGGACAGGGTGAGTGTTTTCCCGTTAATGCATGTTATCTTTTCTATAATAATGCAAATGTTATAAACTATATTTTTAGTTTACACTTATTTTTCGTTGTAAATTGCCCAAGGATATGTATATAACGTAGAACATATTATAAAAATAAAATGTAACCTTATTTTTTATCCGTTTTCATGTTGTTAATTGCATTATATATTTTGTCTGTAAAATCGTTCCTACAAGATTACTAGTGTGGTTCATAATGTGTGTATCTAATCTTAGCTTTAGTTGTTCGTTGTTCTCATAAATCGAGGGAAAAACTGTTTTTATAATTTTGTGTAGCCATTGCACAATGCACATGTTCCAACCTAAACAAACCGGGCTCCAAAATTTAATTTACTTGTAAAGCGTGATTACATTAACGGTGGGTAAACGTGTTTTCGAGTCTATTAACTAAATAGGCTATAGATGAAGATGGTGATTGCGTGAAACTGTTGTGTATGCAAAAACAATTCTAGACCTATTTTCCGACCCAGTTTAATATGTTTTTTTTTTTTGTTTAAAATAAATCTCGCGTTAAATATCTCTAAATACAAACCGCTGTTTACCAATAGTTTGTGTATAAAAGACCAATTTCTACCACACAATAATGTGCCCAAATTACAAAACATTTTCCATTAAGTGTTAATTAAATCTTTACTGGGCAAGTAATATACAACTCTCGTGCATTGTATAGTATATTTTTATCACCAACCATATAGAATAACCAAAGCATGCGGTTTTATGATTGTTTCTTGATTCCTTCACGAAAGTAAATAGTGTTTCTGTGATTAAAATTGTACTCTTTAATGTTTTCAGTATTCCATTCAAGACAACGGTTCTGCCAAATATTTCCAAGGAGCCATGCACACGCCGAATATGGGGGAAAAAGTAGCCCAGGTGAGCATGTGTTAATATGTGTTAATTTTAAAATGTATGTTTTCCTTGTATATTTTGTAGTTTTACAAGGCTAAACCTGCTTAGAAAGGGCTTAAACTATGGATCAAACTAGACATATTATTCCCATCGTAAGGTTACGCCAGTTTTAGAATAAAAATTAAGTAGGTCGTCAACAGTGTGTGTTGATGTAAATTACTGTTTCTGTCGAATACTTCTACAATTTAAGCCAAACTGAAGGGAAACTTACTGTAATTTGTCATATTTTGTGTCATTTAAATTATCACAGTAAGATACAATAAGGATGAGAATATGAGATTTAGACTGTATCACATGCTGTGAGTTTTTCATGATCTATTTTAATGAAGAATTTACTATCGCTGGTTCATAGAGATGGGATTCGTTACTTAACTATCCAGAATCTGATGTGTATAACGATTAAAACTGTCACGAGCTTTTGATATTTGGCCAATAACTTTGAATGTTAAACCATAAACACAGTTGATAAGTGGATTGACATTGACTTTGGATAGTAAATTTGACATTCCCATGATTAAGCTGTGCCCTGATGTTTTACTGAGCAAGAACAAGTTTAAAGAACCTCTAATGGAGTATGACTGCATTGGCGTTTTGATTACACCTGCAGTTTTTTTTTTTTTTTCATTATTATAATATTATAATGATATATTTTATAGATTTCTACATGTTATAGATTATTGGGGAAATTAAGGTATAAATTGCAAACATTTTTCTTGTATTTTGGGCATAGTTAAGAGTTGGGTTTATGGAAAAAGGTTTAGCATTAAATCAAATCAAATCAGGTCAATTCTGTACCAGGTTCGACTCTTTCTCTAGGAATGGATTTAACTTAAACGTAAGATTGGCATGTGTTAAATCGGTGTGAGCTTTCTTATACCAATACAATTCTTCAGTACAAAATTAATGTCAACTGTGTTTTAATTACGAAACAATATGTCGTTATATTTTGTTGTGGTTTTATTGTAACGTTTGTAAGTTAAGATTGTTTATAAATTGATTCTGCAGTTTACTGAGAAGTACTAATGTGTAAACAGAATCTAATACATTTGCGGTTAAATACTCAACACTAACTCAATTGGTTAGCCAAGTCTACCGGCGAAAATGTCGTTCCATTGCAAATACAAGTATTCATATTGAATCTATTCCGCCACTGCTCAAATAGTATTATTCTTCATGGAGTATAGAGTTAATTCGACGATTATTGGTCACTGAATATAAAATATTCTTCTACTATTCTAAAATATATTTAATTGTAGTGAAATTTGGAAGTAGTATTTACCAGTATCCATCCATAGTAAAACCAAATCTTAGATTCGTGATCACTGTAGAATGTCGTTGTCAGTACATAGAAGCTATCAACTTGTTACATTAAGGCACATGCATCACTTAGGTACAAATGAGGTTAAATAATAAATACCATTTTGTTTGTATTCTGTTCTGTATGAGGTTGCTAGCCAGCCCCACCTCTAGCCCACCCTTAGAGATTCAGTGTCCCGGAGTTTAGGGTTTCAGATTTGCTTACCATAAATTTACAATCTTTAAATTTAAATTTTCTACAGTTAGTTTTGAAAAACAATAGATTTAGTAACTGTTTTGGCCTCATCTTAATGTTTAACATGATATTTACGACGCTAAACGCTCTCAAAGCGGGAAATAATTTATTGTGTGTTTATCAATAATATACAATGTATTTCAAAATATCAAATATTTTAGTAAATGGGTAGTGTTTATAAATAGCGGAAAATCCAAATATTCTTTGAACATAATGTTATTTTGATATATGGTAAGTGTGTATTTCCTTTATTACAAACCAGTTTAGATAAAAAATTAAACATATATTAAAAAATTACTTGCATCGGGGTATATGTTCCTGTAATAAAAGTCGTGAGAAATATATCTTTCTTTTTTACTATTTTTTAAAACTTTTTAAAACCTGATATATGTTATCTTTTAGGAAAAAGTTCTACAAAAACGTACTTAAGACTGTTTAAGTATCCTAAAAAATCGTCTTAATTTTTATTTATTTTGGTTTTGTTTCTCTTTATTTCGTATTTGACAACTACAGCATTGAAAGTTTAAGAAAGATTTTCATTTCACTTTTACATTTTATTTCACATTTTACACGCAGTATGCGCAAAGCTAGTTGTAACCCTTCAATATTATATAAGACATGTCTTACAGTTTAAAAAAGCAACTACCAAGGTCATTTCCCATGAGTTATTACTACAAAACTTATAACAAAAGCTCTCCTCTTAACAAAAGTCTACGTTAAAATAGTTTTAGTTTTGACAACCACTAATATTATTGCAAAAACATAAATTAATCAAAAAAGAATTTATTTTGTAGACGTTTAAATTCGAGCTATAACATTTAAATACGACCAATGCTTTTTGAGAATTTTAAGGATACAACCGTCTTTATGTTCCCCTTTACAACCATGATAACGGTATTAATCCTGGTCGTAAACTTCGGCTCAACCCCTGTACTACGTTTTATCTGCAATTGAAGTTTATTGCTTTCTCTTCGTAAATTTAAATTTCATGAATATTTAAAAGGCCGTTACTGTCGTCGTATAAAAATCTTGGGTTATCCGTATCTAATTTTCATAGGGCATAGGGAAACACTTCTCAAGAGTTTTAAACATATGAGGTTTACTACTAAACAGCGTTCTTATAAGTTCTCGTATGAAAATTAAAAATAATTTGTATACAAATGATTTACTAAAAATGTAAACTTGTTCTCGTAAACCCTTGCTACGTAATGCGCTATTCAAGGTTTAAAGACTCAATCCGCAGTTCAGCTTTTGAACCGCTTATGAGGCCAAAGCGAAGGTGAAACCCGGTATAACACTTCGCAGAAATGTTCATCTACTTCTGCCAGTCGCCATTCAAAGACAATTGGATTCGCTTCTAGAACATTTAACGTGATTCCTATTTCAGTGAAGTTAATTATAGGCATTCAGTCAGTGAGCTTTGAGTTATGTTGATATTTCTTGTAGTAATCTTATTTATGTTGTACTACTTATTATTTACTTAAACCGCTATAATATTTCAAATTATAGACGCCATTTATTGAGACTTTTATGAATGGACCATTATTAATTAGTGTTTGTAAACATTTATATTTACAGTTTTTTTTTTCAACTAAAAAAATAGGTATACGAGCGACAGTAGAACGCTGAGGCTGTACGGAGATTTCAAAACAATATCTCTTTTATATCCCAGGAAAATAAAATATATTTATATTCGTTGTGTTTTGGTGGAATGCATGTTACTAATGAAATCTAAATTATATCACTCGTTAAAACTTATCGAAAAATATTAGAAAAAAATAGGTTTAGTCAAATATAAAGATTAGGTGCAAATCAAACGCATGGAAATTTTTTAAGATACTTAGTTCGCAAAAATAAATAACTATTATCTCAATTTACGGAATATCTTGACTTAACTTTTATCAATATTGCTTGTTTGAAAAATCCTATGTTGATTTTAGCTAACTTGTAGAAGGACGATTGAGGTGAGTTGGAGCTGGATTTCCCCCAACACCCCTCTAATAGCATAGACATTTACCCTTTTAGTAATTTTTGACCTGCCCCAAAATGACTCAAATCACCAAAACCCCATCTTATTAGAACCTAAAATAGTTTAGAATACAAAACATTAATAACACTTATAGAGTTAGAATATAAATAGTGGAATCCTTATTCCTAAAGCATGACGTATGTTAGTTCGTATTGTGTTAGTGAATGACAAGTTTTACTCTAATACATGTTTATTACGTGATCTTTGTTTCTATTTTTACACGTTAAATTATAAAATTGCCCACCCAACAAGGTTATAATATATTTACAACAAATAAAAATAAAGTATATATTGTATTCAATTTTCTGTGACAAAGAAATTTAGTAAGTTTGTAATAAACTGATTTCTAATAGAAATGTTTGTTATTCACATGGTTAAAGTTTTTAAAGAGTACATTTGTGTTAATTCTACCGATTATAATCATTAAAAAATACGTTTTACAAAAAAAATTATCATGACCAAATTTAAATTTATCGACTTAATTTTTAGTATAACATATATTAGGACACATACCATTTTATATTTTAGGTGTACATTTATATTTGCCATGTTTTGGTTAGAAAATACAATGTTATATAAAAACAAAATATATCATGCATAAGTAGAAAACATAATTATACATATAATATTTTTGTGTTGAACAAAACTATAATAAACCTAATGTTTTTATTTGTTATAAGGCTTGTTGTCGGAGCTCGTTTCAATCATGCAAAAAGTAAAAATTAATCGCTATACTATTTTATTTCGTTAATCCAAACTAATGTATTACTAACTAACAAATAACTAGAGAGCGTAATGTATGTTAAAATATGACCTCTGATAATGAACTCCCCTGTTACATATGAGTTATCATCAAAATATTCGTAATTTGTATATATACAAGATAATATGCCTACGATGTGCTTATAAAAAAGTAATTTTGTAACAATAGGGCTACTATAGGGTTTGGGAAGACATTTCTTCCCACATTGTATTTTAAAATTGGATTTGACAATAGTAGTTTACGCAACGATTGCGTTAAGTGAGTCTTTACGACACGAGTAGAAAAACTTCTACGAGTGTCGTAAAGACTATTAACGCGAGTTGCGTACACTACTTTACCTACGACCGTTTTTTAATTACTATCAATCTGGATTTAATTACTAACAATCACTAATGATAACTTTTTAGAGAGGTTATGTTTTCGTGTATTGTCATTGCCACTGAAAGTGATGCAACGACTTGTTGTATAATCAGCTGATTTCCTGTAATTACGTGTTTGTTAAACTTCGTTAAATATTACATTGCTAGCAGCATTCTTACCATAAATAATATTGTATCAGGTACAATTCGGCAAATATTTAATTTATTTTTGGACTTCCACCAACTTAATTAAGAATACGCGAGTATCAACATGAACAAGTAGGATCAACAATGAAATTGGTCAACTGATCAGCTGATCAGCTGATTAGTTGACGTTCGAAGCATTACAATTTTAATTCTTTTCTCTCAATACTTGAACCTCATTGGTCCGTTACCTGTGTGGATATGAGAAAACTATGCGGATATGAAATGAAACTATGCGGATATGAAAGTAAACAGCTGTAAAGTGAAACTTTTCAATTCTAAGAACTGGACTGAAATGGCTACTTTAAAAAACGGTCGTAGGTAAAAGAAGTTTGATAATAATAGTACACGTTTAAATAATCAAAATCATCTTAAAATTGAAAGTATTTCATTATAAGGATAAATTTATTGCATGAGGAAGAGACCCCTGCACTGTTAACAAGGTTTACATTTTGTCTGTACTTTGTATGGAAAATGATTTTAAACCCTTTTATCAGAGACTTTTACTTTTTTACACAATCTGTATTAGCGCTGATTGGAGTTTCGAATTGTGTGAGGAAAGCTGGTAAGTGCGGAGATTATTTTGTAAGAGGGGAAGAAGAATGTGTCAAGGGAACTCCGCCAACAAAAACAGAGCGACAAAGTAGTGGGATAGGCTCAGACAAAATGCAACACAACAAATACATGTGTGTGGATAAAACTGTGAAAGTTATTTTAATACGTGATTTTCAATTTTTAAGTGCTGTTTAGTGATAAACTAAACGCCTGGTTTGAGATTATCTCCCTAGTACAAAACATGTTTAATTAAACATCGAGAGACATGTTTAACATGAAGGTAATTGTAAAATTTAGACTGTGTAAGTAATTTGAATGGGCACATTATTCTAACAAATTGTTTACAAAAATACACACTTTTAATAATTCAAATTATTTTTTTACCTTAGTCGACTAAAATAATAAGATATGAAAACCATTAAGTCACAGCTCCAAAGTTGTTTTTCAATATTATATTACAGTCGGTACTGTTACTCGAACATTTCGTTAACATGGCTACTTCTTAAATGTTCTAAATCATTTTCAAAGGGTACAGTGTCACAGTGTAACATAGTATGAATATATATAAACTAGTTGTATGGAAAAAGGCTTGTTTATATTACATGATGGGGTGTGTAAATATCTATTTTTTTAAACAGAGAGCCAGGCTTACAAGTGACCATGGGATTGCATCGCAGCCGAACAGCTTATTGTGCATAAATACCACTTCAACAATACCTAAATACAACATAATTCACACATAAACACATGTTTAATTTTTAACAAACTTAAATTGTTAAGATACAGACAAAACGCCATCATGCTTAAAGCTCAATACTGGTGTTAAAACTTGTAATTCAAAATAGAAAGGAAACATTTCACCTTTAACATATGTAGGCCTACATCAAATTATGATATTCGTCATTAAATGTAACCAAGCAGCATTAGTACTCAAATAAAATAGAAGACTTACGGGCCAGTAGTCCAAAATTGCGTTTAACTTCAAATAATGTTGTTCAAAGCTGACATGTTTCGCTGCAATGCAACATCGTCGGAGCTTTACGTTAAAATAATTTACACATACAGCTTTAAAACATGTCAGCTTTGAACAACATTATTTGAAGTTAGTCGCAACTTTTGACCAATGACGGAGCCTATAAAGTCATTTATACGTAGTCCAGGGGCTATCAGAATGAATACTATAAAATAGAAGTATGATATACGAAATCACTTATCCTTGGAACTTTAAAAAATACCTACAACTTTGAATTTCTTACCACTAACGTAGTACTAAAAGTGACCACCACAACAGCACACGTCAGCCCAGTCCTTCTTTCTTTCCTCACCGGTAGACAGCGCTTGTGTCACGTTTCGCCACCCTCACTCAAAGTTCAATTGATTCCCGCTAGGTTGTGCGTTCTTCATCAGTCAAATCTGTACTCACAGAGAAGTAATATAACTTATCTGTGCTGTACTCACCAAGTCTTGGTATGTTTTTGTTGTCAAAGACACCACTATGAGCGTTGGTAGCTCCTGTAGTTCCAAGTTTTGTCACTAGGCAGCTCTGTGGGGTCGGTCGATTCGAAGCGGCAGTCAGTGGCAGTCCGTCTACTCCTCTTGAAGTGAAGAGTCGAGTAGCCCTGCTCATACAATGATAGCTTATGTCAAACTCGAAAGATATGAAGGAGGTATGGCACTCGCACTTAAGACCAGCATCATAGGATATAGTTTAGTTGAATAGACTAGTCACACTAGTATATTGGTAGTTTTAATAAATATCAAAAACATATATATTGAAGAACAATTATCAATAGCAAAATTCCTTTGAAAACCCCATTTTCGAAAAAAATTACAATTATATAATCAATAGTTAACAAAATTGTCCAAGTCCTGTCTCTTTAAAAAAATCATCTGGAAAAACCATATTATTTACACAAAACAAATCATGTAAATAAAAAGATAAGTATTCACTATTAATTAAGTATGAAAATGGACTCATGTCTGAAAAATGTTACTTCTATAAAAATATAATAATATCAGGGTGCTCAGTTGTTTTTCATTTACTACTTATATAGGTCAGCAGCTTGGTATAACATTTTCATGAACACCAAAATCAATATATTTAAGAACTTATTTTCTATTGGCGTAACATAACAAAAATGTCTGCAGGAAAAAATTCATTAATTTAATATACTACCGTGTGTCTCAAAAGGCCCACCCCCTGTTATTTTTTTAATTATAGAGATAAAATTATAACTTTCAGGGAATGTAAAAACTATCTGAAAATGAAGTTTTTGGTGTATGGAAATTTTTACCTCCTCCCCCCAAAAGGGGTAGAATGATGTTAAAACGAAATTTTCAAATGTAAAGCACAGTTCCGAGTTATACACAGTTTCCGCTCTAGAGTGGGAATGACCATTCTAGGTCGTTAAACTACTAAATCAGCTGATTTCATTGTTGGCGTTTCTATAAAACACTAACATTACTTACAGTACTTACTTCATATTTCTTTTCTTTTTCTTTGACCAGCACTGGCTGGATAGATTGAATCTAAATACAACTAATATTTTGAAGTGTGCAGTCAATCTTCACAAATAAAATAAAAACTAACTTCAATTAAATATTTACATATTAATTGGCTTATAGCTTTTACCTTCTTGGAAAAATTTTTTTGATGGCGTAGACTATTTTTTTTACTTTCACGGATCTAGATTTTTTATACTAACATTCAAAGTATTAAACAGTTGCATTGTTAGTATCGGGAAGTAGTTCATCTTCTTACTAAGCCTTCAGAATGGCACATCGAGTAGATCCTTACCTCTGTTATTGTGCGTGTGTTGTTCCGCTCGCTTTGTGAGGAACAGGTTGTTTCCCCTAATTTAGGTCAAACTGAGCAAGATATCCTGACTATATATTGTCAGTACACCCAGTCTGTTACAAATTGGTTACTATGTTGCAATATACAAACGTTGTATATTGTACTATACAAAAAGTTCTAGTAAATTTTACATAATAAAAAATATTATTTTATTGATATTTATGTTAACTTTTCAACCAAAAAATGTGTCTTATCTT